CTTTAACCTGCCGTGCCCCCAGGGCAGCAGTGAGCAAGCAGAGAGGTGGATATTTTGGGAAGGCACAGACGTGAACTTGAGAAAGCAAGGCAAGTGATTGGGAGAAGCAGAAACAGAGCCCGAAGGAAGTTGGTGCCCTTTGCAGAGCCAGGAACCTGCAAGAGGAGGAACGGGTCGCAGGGGGACATGTGGAAAAGAGGGCGATGGCAGAGTGGGACAGGCTGTGATTGAGGGGCCCGCTGGACAGTCCTTGGCTTATTCAGGTTCTGTTACATTTAAGGGAGACCCAGGCTGGATAGGTAGCAATGGCTGTCACTGGAATAGTGCTTCGTTCTTCCTACTTGATTGTGCAAAACTTCAGAAAGGGGCTAGAGATGGTTTACAAATGCTTTGGTTTTATTCTTTATGGTTGATTTGTTTTAAAATTTCAAATCTATGGTCACAACTGACCTTATTCAATCCCCTCTCCCCTCCAAAGGGGGAAACACCAATGGGCATGTAGATAGAGACGTCGATATGTATCTATACCCCAAACTAGGCAAAGGAGTTTCAGAGATGAAGAGTGTAGAGAGAAGTGGCCAATTTATGCTCTTTTCCCTGATTATCATTCCACTGAGTTTGATTCAGGTCTCAAGAAGTGTGTCCCATGGCAGGTCTAAGAGGTCAGTTTAAGTCCATCCTGAGTTTAAGAGTGACCTGAACCTGTCTGTCCAAAGACATGATTAAATATCCTGAGAGACTGATTTGAGCCTGGGCACGTGTACGGGAACATGAATGTGATTAACTCCCAAGACATCTGGTGCCAAGACACTAGACCAGGGTGGGGTGGGACCTGGAATACGGGGTGTCCATGGGCCTCAGTGGAATTTGCTGTGGGTGTGCTTCATTTGCCCCAGGTCAGGCTTTCTTCCCTGTGGATCCTAATCTGCCTGCAAAAGCTGGGATCTAATTAGTTTGCATTTGATTTCTTTGCTGCCTAATGAACTACCTCTGTAGTTCTAGCTGTGGTGTCATTAGCATCTCACTGCCTTGGGCACCATCTCTGGAGAGAGATGCTGAGGCAGTCCCAGAATCCTACAGGAACTGTACCAATTTACTTCGTAACAAGTAATTCCCCTCCATGATCTGTCCGTTCCCAGCAGTAGAGCAGAGCTGCGTGAAGATGGTCGGTCACTTCTATGATCGCCCTATGCTTCTGAGTCGAGGTGGGTCAGTATGCCCATGCCTAAGGCCGTGGGCACATCCACACGGGGATTCTGAGCATGGAGGTAGCTCCGAATATTATCATACCATGGTATTCTACTGGGGAACTTCATCCACTGTGTGCTGTATGATACATATTTAGCCTGAAGCAAATGGCATTTATTTATAGCAAGCTGAATTTGCAAAATGCTTTGCAGTTTGGGGCTTGTTAACTACATTCCAGGTTGGCTGTTCTTCTCCTGTAAGAAATCTAAGTGTCATGGCTGGGCTCCAAAGCCTCCCCTGAGAGCAAACGGGGTGAATTCCGCAAACAGAGGTGAGAAGGGGCCACACCTGGGTATTCTTTATTGGAAGGCATTTTTGGAAATTATCGTCTTTTGGGACCTTAACTACCCAATTGCTTATGTCAGAGGTTGTATACTTGTTGAAATGGAATAGACTATCCATTTTTTTCCTAAAGATAATATAATGTCTCAAAATTGAGGATTTCTACCCAGGTCCTAGAGGGCAGAAGAGGGAAGAAGTACCAAAGGACTGTAATTGGTCTGCACAAGGGAGGGGTGAGCAGCGGACCGTGGAAACCAGTCGGAGTCTCCTCTGCGTCCCCCACAGACAGAGCTCTCCACCACCCACTCCCTAACTGGGGGAGGACTTAAAATCAAGTATCAAAGATAAGACTCTCCTCATGCGTTTAGGATCTGAACTACTCTTTCTCTTGCCCCCAGACAGGATGGTTATAGGTGCTCTCTTTGGCAAAAGGAGATTCATCTAGGCTTTCACCGCCGGACTCCATCATTTTAAGGAGTATTTCCCAATTGTATCTTTAATGGTGTATGGAAAATGTTTCCTCTTTGAAAAATCTCTCTCTCTCCCCTGCATCTCTATTCTTTCCTGGAGCTGAAATAGATGGCTTTGGGGACTTCACTGCTCATTACTTCTGTATAAATCCAGGTCCCCTCTAGGCAGCTCCAACCTGCATGATGAGGGGACCGGAGGGACAATTAGATTTGGCCCCCAGCAGGGCCCTCTCACTATGGACACGAATCTTTCCAGGAGAAGGAAAAGATGATTCTCACATAAAACAAGAATTTGGCGACCTCCTGCTATCTTCTGCAACCTTCCCATGCCTCTCTTCTCCCTAACCTTGCATCTATCCAGGGCTGAAGGATACCGAGGGGGATTTGCTGCATCCTGATTTTAATTAGGATAGCCAGAAGACAGCAGCAAAGGGGCCAGCCCCTCAAACGTTTACAGCAATTACAAGCTTTAATGCTGGCATGTTGCGGGAAGCGGGGCTGGGAAACACGGCGCTCCAGCTTGGGGTTTGCTGTGCCCTCTAGTGGCTGCATTTGTCCGTCTGGGGTTGTACGTAAGGACCGGTAGAATAGGTGCTGGGGAGAGTTCCTGGGTATTTGGGGATAAAAAGTGACAGAAAAGGGGTTTGGTGGCATATTATTTCCCCCTTGAAATAAAGTTACTTCACGTGAAGGATATTGAAGAAGGCTGTTTATTTTCCCTTCATTATCTTTTGTGTCTCACAATACTGCATTTTTTCTCCTTAGGATAAACTTCATGGCATTGTTTCACTCATTAATTTTTTATTGTTGAATTAAAAAAATTGTACCACCACAGATTTTTTTAAGTAGCCAGATGTTTGCTTTAAGTTTATTTTCCATGATGCCGAAGTGGCCACACCGAATTTATGGTACCTTTTCTTTTTGCTCACAGAAGTCATTTTAGACTTGATATCACCATCTAGTGGTCATTTCTTGGAACGCCTTTTTCCAGCCTCTCTCATCGAGGAGGGTAGTGGGCTGAAAATGAAATGTATCTGACTGTAAGGGGCATCAGGGCCAGCTAAGGGAAGGTCAGGCTCTCTGGAAAGACTTATGTGGCGAAATTTGTAAAGAAGCACTGTACCTTTACTGATTTTTTTTTGGAAGGCCAGTGAATGAAGGCCTGTTTATCAAGAAATCACATCAAAGATCCAAAGATGTCACCTCACCCTCACTCATTCCTGCCCAGTCCATCGGCCTGTTTAAGAAAACTGGAAGCCTGGCCTGGAGCTTGGTGAGGAGAGTCCTTCCAGATAGTGGCCACTTTACAAACACTCCCAACCATGGGGTTGACTGAGCTGCATAAGCCTGAATGTCAGTCAAGATTTACACGTGGCTTGGAGTGACTTTGGGGCTGACTGGCATGGGCTTCTGGGCCGCCTACCTAACAACATTGCCCTGATTTTGGTGAGTGACAGTTCAGCAATTCTCTTACAACCTAGAAAGGGCTTGTGCTCAACTCTGGGTCTGTTATTAAACAAAATTCAAACGTGAAATTAATTATATCCTGTATTTATAGCCACTTGAATGAGTCCTTTGCCTTAGTGTGTGGGAGGAGTCCCACAGCCATGATGCTGTTGGGTAAAGACGCTTCATCTGCATAGTGATGACGCTCATCTGGGAAACAGCAATGCAGAAATGCCTCGTGACATATTAAATAGCAAACAAGAGGGAGAATAGCAGAGCCTCCCTGGACCCCATAAGAGAGAACCCTGTTATAAAGTCAGTGAGTTGTATCTCACAATCACCTTCTGGAACCACTTTGCAAATCCTTCCAAGCAGTTTCCCCAAAGATCTGGCCTATCAAGTATTGCATTCTTATTGCATTCTTGATTGTTCCGAGAGGACCAGAATGAATATTCTATATCTGCCCACTGTTTCCACAAGCCACTGGTCCCCATAAATGCTTTGATGTTCCCAACTACAACTGTGCCCAAAGGGTCAGGGGTCTCTTAAGGAATGGAGGGCTTTTGTTAGCCAACTCCACTTCCCTCTTCCTGCAGAATGAGTAAGGTAATGGAGAATCACGAAGGCTTGGAAGAGAAATGTCAAGCAATGCTTTCTTCCATAGGAGACAAACTTATTTTCTGGTAGGCATTTTCCATGTTTGTCACCAAAAATAAACCAAGAACTTCTCCAACTGCCCCTTACCCATCAACAAACGGTGCTATGAGCTTGTCTCTCAGGCTTTGGAGTGCAAATCCTCCTGAAAATGCCCTCCCCACCTTCCCTGAGCTGATAAATAATGAAGCAGAGAACTCTTCTTCCCCTGTGACTTAAAGGCCTTGGAGTCAGGTTACACTGGACTCAAACCCTGGCTCTCACAACATCCTAGCAGTGTGATCTTGAGGCTCTTACCTTCACCTTCCTCATCTATAAAATGGGTGTGATGAGAGCACTCCATGCAGAGAGTTCTTGTAAGGGTTAAGGATGCCTTAAAGAGACCTCACTTTCATCGTACAGCTTGAGAAACCTCTCCAGGAGTTACAATGAAAACCATCATGCTTATGATTCAACATGTGCTAGCCACTTTAAATTTATTGAAGCACGAATTTAAATTTGTTTAAATTTGCCACTTATTCATTACACAGTGCCAGCACTATTAATATCTTCATTTTATGGGTGAAGAAACTTGAGTCCGCGAATATTTTCACTGTGATTACATTATTGAAGACTATCCTGGATCCTGCATAGACACTGCAGAAGTGTTCCCCTCAGCGCCTCAGGGGAGCTGATGATTCTCAGAAAGGAAACAACCAGCTTGCCCATTTGGAAGGACCATTTTCAACTCTGTGGGTTACTTGGCCTCCCCAAGTTTTGAGTGAGATGACGGAAATACATTCTTACCCCCTCGCTACATTTTCTGACCTGGCCAGGATTTGACCCCAACCCTCAGGGGCCACAAGGTCATGCATGCCCTTGGTCTTTCCTCACTGTCTCTTTTCATTTTGTGTCTGGCAGGCAACTCCCCATCTGACGAGTCAGAGGAGCGAGAAAGAGACCCCAAGGTGCTAACGTTCCCAGAATACATCGCCAGCCTGTCAGAGACTGGCAACAAGCGCATGGCGGCTGGAGTCCGCATGGAGTGCCAGAGCAGAGGACGATGCCCCTCCTCCTGCCCCCTGTGTCATGTGACCTCCAGTCCCGACACCCCTGCTGAGCCAGTTCTTCTGGAAGTGACCAGAGCAGCCCCCATCTACGAACTGGTGACCGCCAACCAGACCCAGAGGGTAAGAGGCCCGGGACCCTTGCCCAGGCAGACATCAGTGACAAAAGAGGGCTTTCCAAATGGCCTGAGGAGGTGATGGTGCAATTGAGCCCCCTGCTAGAATATGGACAGTCAGGTATTTTGTTTAGCTACTTCAGGTGCCTCATTTGCTTAGATTTGCATATTTGCATAGTAAATCAAATCAGTGCACCCACAACACGCATGGTGATGACTTGGAGTCACAACTCAGCATCTGTGTAGGTCTTTGAGCAACAAGGAAGAAGGTAGAGAGGGAGGCATAGCATTTGCAGTCACTGCAGTCATTGTTCAGAACACCCTGAGGGATAGTGTGGGGGGAGGCTCAGCTCCACCTCCCCCACATTGGCAGGGGAGGTGAACCAGCTCCTCTAAGCCCTCCCCAGCCTGGGACCAGCTGCAGCTAGACTGGAAGGGGCACATCAGCCACAGGTCCCAAAGGGATGCCACTGGCCACCTCTGCCCGGAGGGAGTTGCCTCTAAGAACCAAGCTCCACATCCCTGCAGACCTTCTTAGGTTGTGCTGCAAGGCCATGACATTTCCCAGCCCCTCTTCCCTTCTGCTGCTGCCTTGCCAAGGGTGCTAGGAGGAAATGAATGGACCCCAAGATGAGCTGCAAAAACGTGGCCGAGCCAGCAACTAGCTCAGTGATAAGCTGTCCAGTCTCCTCAAGCACGTAAAGAACAGAGAAGGTTGAAACACACACAATAGCAACAGCAAGGACAGAAATAAAAACATGAAGGCTCAGGGCGTGGAACTTCTGAGGCTATAGGCAAAGGGGACCTTGGGGAGCAAGACAAAGCAGAGTCACAGCATGAGCTCCTTACCTGCCTGAGAGGTGTGCCCATCCAGGTGAGGTGATAATTGCTTTCTCTTTCCTCTTTTAAGGGACACCTGGTGTGTCACAGTTGATTTCGTAGGTAATGCCCAAACCAACAGAAGGGATTTTGCATGTGTGTGTGTTTCTCTTGCCTATCTGCCCTGGCCAAGGATAGTTCATTGAATGTTTGAAAATAAGGTTTTTCACAGGAATAAGAAGATAAAGCCTTCCTCTGACCTACAAATTTCTTTTCGATCTGCTAGAAGTGACTATAGGAAGAGGAGTGGGAGAGAAGGGCCCATTGAAAGGAGGAGGAGAAAGAGGTGTTTGTGTCACCATGGAGACCCAGAGCTGCAGGGGCCTTCATCCAGTGCCCAGCCCTCCCCTTCCCTGCCCCATGTTGTCTTCTGTGCACACCCAAGACTGCTGCAGCTGATCCCCCAGGAGCCCCTGGGAACAGTGGAGTCAGGGAGCTCACCCCAGGCCCATCCTGCAGTGCAGGGCATGCATCACCGTAGAGCAGACAATCGCCGGTGGCTTCCTGCAGGGCCAGCCGAGCACAGTGCGGAAGCTAAAGGGAGTTTGTCTGCAGCCTCTCTGTTCAGGATCCTCTGTTTGCAAAACCTGGGTCCTTTCTTGTCTCCCTACACTGGTCTTAAAAGAGGGGTTGGGAAATACCTTCCCTCTGGCCATAATGAGCACTTTAATTTCTAAACAGGCATGGTGTCCCAAGCTGGAGTTCAGTCCCTGACATGTTTCTTCTCTCTCTTCTTCTTCCTTCTGATTTCTTCCTTTTTCCCTAAGAATGGAGACGAGAAGTGAAGAAGCGCAGGACCTGTGGAGGGGTGCTGGGTCATGGCGCTAGGAACTTGGTGTACGTTCCCAGCTCTGCCTCTCTGGTGTATCTTTGGGGCCCTTTTCTAGCCTCTCTTGCCCTCATTAACTAGTGTCTGATGCCATATCTCAGTCTCACCTGTAACTGCAATCTAAAAACAAGTAGGTCAAACCACATAGTCAACCAGGTGTCATAAACCCAGCATATTTGAACTCAGCCATCTTCCACCTCAAACCATACCTGTTGTGCTTCCATCTCAGTGAATGACTTTATTTTCTACCAGGTTGGCCCAAGTGGAGACCAGCTATGCTTCCTAGACTTGTCACTCTCTGGCATTTATTCCATCACCAGGGCCACAGATACCTCAAGTTCATCCTGTTTTTATCATACCCCCTTATCACAGCCCAACTAGTTCAGTCATCCCTTGTGATATAACCATACTGTAACCATCTTGTTACAGTAGCCTTCTTACTGTTTTCCCTGTTAGACCAGTCAGAGTCCTCTGTCTAATAATGGAACTCTGATCATGTGGTAGCCAGGTAATTCAGTGGCTCTGCAGAATCTATCGAGTAAAGTCCTTAGCACATCATTGCAACAGCAGTCCATTGTCCAATTTCATCTTCACCTGCCTGCTTAGGTTGTACCCACTCTACTTCATGCTCTACCCTCAAAATTTAACTCCTTGCACTCCCTTAAATGCAACACACTTCCCCTCATGCATTTGACCCTTCAGGCTTGCCATCTTTCTCACAGGAACACCTCTCCCACATTTCTGCCACTGGCAAACTCCTACTGTTACTTCCAAGTTTCAGCTTAAGCATTGCCCGTCCACAAAAGCCCTCCATTACTGTCCCAGGCCACCAGGCCAACCCTGTGTTCCCTCAAATAGCTTGCCCTGTGCGGTACACACATTTTCTAAAACATACATTCCGTGAGAAAAGTGCCTAGCAGTAGTCTACATACAGGTGGTGCTCTACTTGAATGAATGAACGAAATGATGAAGATATGAATGGACAGATGAACTTGACTTGAAAGTTCAGCTGCTTTCCTTAGAGCAAAATAATAACCAAAATGGGAAAATCCTATTTCTTTTCTGGAATCAGGATTAATTTGAATAACAAATGAGGGTTTCTCATGCAATGTCTGGCACACTGTAGGTACTAAGAAAAATCTAATTTTTCTTCTTTTCCTTTCCAGAAAGGTTCCCTCTTGACTCCTCTCTTCTACCCTCATCCTACTTCCAACATTTCCTGGAACCCAAGATTCAGATAGTAGGAACTCTCATAAAATGGTGTGAATCAAAGATGAAAAGCTTTTGAAGAAATGGCGTTTAAACTGTTTGACATCATCATAAGTGTTGGCATTTGCTCCTTTGGACTGAAAATATGATCATGTTGATTCCCTGTTTAAAACACTTTGTTAGCTTACCATTGCTCTTAAAATATGGCATTCCCCTTTCCCATGGCCCCCTGCCCTCTGGCACCGGCCCTGCCTCCCTCCCTCCCTGAACATCTCTTTGCCCCAGGCTCTGTCTCTTACAGCCAGAGGAAACATACCTCAGTTGATTTTAGAAATTAAGTTTCATCCAGACTTCAGTCTTCTTAATACTGGTTTTTCCACTTGGAACGCTTCCCCAACTTCTGTGATCAGATAGCTCTTGATCTAGCCCTGCAAGTTCGGATGAAAGCACACAGCCTCCTGGAGGCCTTCCCGAGCCCCTCTGTAAGATCGTCTCCCCTCGTCCTTCCTGCTACCACTGCCATGCTTTCTTTGGAGGCCTTACCACAGTGGTAGTTATTTGGTTATTTATATAACTTCTGTTTATTTATTAGGTGGCTGCAAGATATGTATGGGCCATATATGTCTATGTGCCGCTGTGTCCTGAATGCTCAGCACTGGAAATGGCCCCTTATAGGAGTTGAGCCAATAACTGTTGATTGAAGACTGTAAGGTAGTAGCCACCATCTCCTTTTCATTCTGCCTATCTCAAAGAAAGTCTGTTTTGCTTAGTCTAAGAAAATACACCTTCTGCTCTGAATTTGGTTCAGTCGGCACAGCATAAAGTGAACACCTGCTACACACCAGGCTTCAGTGCCACATCGTTTCTACCATCTACTAGGAGAGAGAAGCCTAATGCTTAATCACAACTCAGGGCAGAAGTGCATTAATATTATGAGGTGCAGACATGCTGAAGGGATGCAAAGGAAATACTGGGACATGGTGACAAAGGCAGATAAGGATGCAGAGAAGCATCTGAGGAAGAGCTAAGTACATCTGAGCAGAGGGAAGAGTGGTAAAGGCAGGCCCATGACTAATGTGTACAACTTATATGTGACTAATACATGCATAGGATCTTCTAGGCTCTTTGGCATATATTGTTTCACTTAATCGTCACAACAAGCTTATGAGGAAAGTGCTGGTATAGAGCATATGGTATCGAGCTCATTGTTCTGGAGCTGAGATCTGGAATGATGGAGTGGAATTGGAGCAAAATAGGAGGTGGAAAAAGGCTTCCCTGCAAGCGACAGTCTTTACCCACAGGGTCGAAATGATATTCTAATGAGAAAGAGCCACTTAAAGGACCTACAAAGTGTAGGGTTCCCCAAAACAAGTTCCAGAGGTAGGAATTTTAGATTAAAAAATGGTGAAGTGGTGCTATGGACTACTGTCCCGACACTCAGGGCCAAGCAAAGCCCTGCTGCTCTGTCTCTCCATTCTGGTGACCCAGCCTCAGATCCCTGACACTCTTTCATCTTCCCTCTCTTCCAGCTCTTGCAGGAGGCCATCATGAGCTCTCTCTGGTGCTCAGGGACTGGAGACGTCATCGAGGACTGGTGTCGATGTGATTCCACTGCTTTCGGAGCCGATGGACTGCCCACCTGTGCACCTCTCCCACAGCCAGTGTACGAGTTCCTTTCTCTGCCTCTCTCTTGCCCACGTGCCTCTGCATTATCCTGCAGGCATATATTATAGATGGTTTGCTATTTGCAAAACAATAGTCTGGGTCCTGGGAGCAGAAAGAAATACGTGATGCGGTACCTGCCTTCAGGGAGCTTTCAATCTTTTAGGGAAGGTAGGCACACAAATTGAAATCATAGAAGAAATAGTTTGATAAGGGTTCTATGAGACATTTAAAGTAAGGGTTGGGAAATACCTTCCCTCTGGCCATAATGAGCACTTTAATTTCTAAACAGGCATGGTGTCCCAAGCTGGAGTTCAGTCCCTGACATGTTTCTTCTCTCTCTTCTTCTTCCTTCTGATTTCTTCCTTTTTCCCTAAGAATGGAGACGAGAAGTGAAGAAGCGCAGGACCTGTGGAGGGGTGCTGGGTCATGGCGCTAGGAACTTGGTGTACGTTCCCAGCTCTGCCTCTCTGGTGTATCTTTGGGGCCCTTTTCTAGCCTCTCTTGCCCTCATTAACTAGTGTCTGATGCCATATCTCAGTCTCACCTGTAACTGCAATCTAAAAACAAGTAGGTCAAACCACATAGTCAACCAGGTGTCATAAACCCAGCATATTTGAACTCAGCCATCTTCCAGCTCAAACCATACCTGTTGTGCTTCCATCTCAGTGAATGACTTTATTTTCTACCAGGTTGGCCCAAGTGGAGACCAGCTATGCTTCCTAGACTTGTCACTCTCTGGCATTTATTCCATCACCAGGGCCACAGATACCTCAAGTTCATCCTGTTTTTATCATACCCCCTTATCACAGCCCAACTAGTTCAGTCATCCCTTGTGATATAACCATACTGTAACCATCTTGTTACAGTAGCCTTCTTACTGTTTTCCCTGTTAGACCAGTCAGAGTCCTCTGTCTAATAATGGAACTCTGATCATGTGGTAGCCAGGTAATTCAGTGGCTCTGCAGAATCTATCGAGTAAAGTCCTTAGCACATCATTGCAAGAGCAGTCCATTGTCCAATTTCATCTTCACCTGCCTGCTTAGGTTGTACCCACTCTACTTCATGCTCTATCCTCAAAATTTAACTCCTTGCACTCCCTTAAATGCAACACACTTCCCCTCATGCATTTGACCCTTCAGGCTTGCCATCTTTCTCACAGGAACACCTCTCCCACATTTCTGCCACTGGCAAACTCCTACTGTTACTTCCAAGTTTCAGCTTAAGCATTGCCCGTCCACAAAAGCCCTCCATTACTGTCCCAGGCCACCAGGCCAACCCTGTGTTCCCTCAAATAGCTTGCCCTGTGCGGTACACACATTTTCTAAAACATACATTCCGTGAGAAAAGTGCCTAGCAGTAGTCTACATACAGGTGGTGCTCTACTTGAATGAATGAACGAAATGATGAAGATATGAATGGACAGATGAACTTGACTTGAAAGTTCAGCTGCTTTCCTTAGAGCAAAATAATAACCAAAATGGGAAAATCCTATTTCTTTTCTGGAATCAGGATTAATTTGAATAACAAATGAGGGTTTCTCATGCAATGTCTGGCACACTGTAGGTACTAAGAAAAATCTAATTTTTCTTCTTTTCCTTTCCAGAAAGGTTCCCTCTTGACTCCTCTCTTCTACCCTCATCCTACTTCCAACATTTCCTGGAACCCAAGATTCAGATAGTAGGAACTCTCATAAAATGGTGTGAATCAAAGATGAAAAGTAAAGCTTTTGAAGAAATGGCGTTTAAACTGTTTGACATCATCATAAGTGTTGGCATTTGCTCCTTTGGACTGAAAATATGATCATGTTGATTCCCTGTTTAAAACACTTTGTTAGCTTACCATTGCTCTTAAAATATGGCATTCCCCTTTCCCATGGCCCCCTGCCCTCTGGCACCGGCCCTGCCTCCCTCCCTCCCTGAACATCTCTTTGCCCCAGGCTCTGTCTCTTACAGCCAGAGGAAACATACCTCAGTTGATTTTAGAAATTAAGTTTCATCCAGACTTCAGTCTTCTTAATACTGGTTTTTCCACTTGGAATGCTTCCCCAACTTCTGTGATCAGATAGCTCTTGATCTAGCCCTGCAAGTTCGGATGAAAGCACACAGCCTCCTGGAGGCCTTCCCGAGCCCCTCTGTAAGATCGTCTCCCCTCGTCCTTCCTGCTACCACTGCCATGCTTTCTTTGGAGGCCTTACCACAGTGGTAGTTATTTGGTTATTTATATAACTTCTGTTTATTTATTAGGTGGCTGCAAGATATGTATGGGCCATATATGTCTATGTGCCGCTGTGTCCTGAATGCTCAGCACTGGAAATGGCCCCTTATAGGAGTTGAGCCAATAACTGTTGATTGAAGACTGTAAGGTAGTAGCCACCATCTCCTTTTCATTCTGCCTATCTCAAAGAAAGTCTGTTTTGCTTAGTCTAAGAAAATACACCTTCTGCTCTGAATTTGGTTCAGTCGGCACAGCATAAAGTGAACACCTGCTACACACCAGGCTTCAGTGCCACATCGTTTCTACCATCTACTAGGAGAGAGAAGCCTAATGCTTAATCACAACTCAGGGCAGAAGTGCATTAATATTATGAGGTGCAGACATGCTGAAGGGATGCAAAGGAAATACTGGGACATGGTGACAAAGGCAGATAAGGATGCAGAGAAGCATCTGAGGAAGAGCTAAGTACATCTGAGCAGAGGGAAGTGTGGTAAAGGCAGGCCCATGACTAATGTGTACAACTTATATGTGATTAATACATGCATAGGATCATCTAGGCTCTTTGGCATATATTGTTTCACTTAATCGTCACAACAAGCTTATGAGGAAAGTGCTGGTATAGAGCATATGGTATCGAGCTCATTGTTCTGGAGCTGAGATCTGGAATGATGGAGTGGAATTGGAGCAAAATAGGAGGTGGAAAAAGGCTTCCCTGCAAGCGACAGTCTTTACCCACAGGGTCGAAATGATATTCTAATGAGAAAGAGCCACTTAAAGGACCTACAAAGTGTAGGGTTCCCCAAAACAAGTTCCAGAGGTAGGAATTTTAGATTAAAAAATGGTGAAGTGGTGCTATGGACTACTGTCCCGACACTCAGGGCCAAGCAAAGCCCTGCTGCTCTGTCTCTCCATTCTGGTGACCCAGCCTCAGATCCCTGACACTCTTTCATCTTCCCTCTCTTCCAGCTCTTGCAGGAGGCCATCATGAGCTCTCTCTGGTGCTCAGGGACTGGAGACGTCATCGAGGACTGGTGTCGATGTGATTCCACTGCTTTCGGAGCCGATGGACTGCCCACCTGTGCACCTCTCCCACAGCCTGTGTACGAGTCCCTTTCTCTGCCTCTCTCTTGCCCACATGCCTCTGCATTATCCTGCAGGCATATATTATAGATGGTTTGCTATTTGCAAAACAATAGTCTGGGTCCTGGGAGCAGAAAGAAATACGTGATGCGGTACCTGCCTTCAGGGAGCTTTCAATCTTTTAGGGAAGGTAGGCACACAAATTGAAATCATAGAAGAAATAGTTTGATAAGGGTTCTATGAGACATTTAAAGTAAGTGTGGGAAGGGAATGGTCAAGTCTGACTGGAGAATGGTGAAGGGTTCATTCACAAAGGAGCTGGCCCTTGAATTTCTCCTAGGAGAGAAAGTTGGACAGTGTGGTTAGAGGATAAAAGCAGGGAAAGTGCTGTTGCAATGGGAGACTTAGAGATCTACAGTGAGACCCTAACGAGGCCCAAAACGCAGTGCTGCAAAGTGACTGAGGATGAACTGGCACTGTGTGGAGCAGCTAGATACTGTTATCACACGCCTCCACCCCAGTTTAATTTAAGACAAGGAAATGGATTCAGACGGACTGAAAATGTTTTCCAAGTTGATAGACCAGGAAGCAGAAGCACGGCTAAGAGGCCCTGATCTTAGCTATTACAGTGTGGAGAGGGTATGACTGACACATGACTCTGGGTAGGACCCACCAGGTGTGATAGCTGACTGTGAGTGTGAGAAGGGAGGAGACACTGAGCATGGACTTAGGACTGATGCGCTGAGGGCTGGGAAGATGAAGCAGCCACAGCTGAGAGGAGCAGCATCAGATGAGCAGGTTTGAGGCAGAGGCTGGCTCTGTTTGGACCTGCCTTGGAGTTACAGTGGGGCAGTCCTATACAACGCTCCGTGGTCAGAGGGAAGGAGGGGCTGGAGCTCCATCAAACAGAAAACACTAGAGATAAGGAGACTGAACTTCAAAGAAATTATAAATGGAACCACAGCCATGGGGAAGGATGCTCAAGAAGAAGTATCAGCTGGGAGTACCTGAGGGTCAGGGATGAGCATTAGGGGGCATCTGCATTCGAGGGGTGGGCCAAGGAGTGCTGCAAAGGTGACTGAAGATGAACAAGTACAATTTCCTCTCTTCAAGGAAAGGCTGAATAGAACTGGCTGAACTCATGGGAATCCTGATGGGCCAGGGTCCAAGACAGGAACCACTTTGAGCCTCTCATATGGCATCTGCCATGGGGATGAAACACAGAAATAAGTCTAGTAAAGAGGGTTAGTAGAACAAGCTGGAGGAGAGCAACCCATGGGTTGTTAAGTCTAGGAAAGCCCAAAGGGAGGATCAGGACCCGTGGTAACTGGGGCACTGAGTAAGCAAGAGAAAGGATGAGACTGGCAAGTGAGGGCCCGTCTTGGTGAACACTGCCCTCTGGCCTTTTTGTGGACATAAGGGTGGCGTTAAAGGGCCAGGAATGAGCAGGAAGAACACTGAGGAAGAGGAGAACACAATAACAGAGGGTCATGGCAAGCCAACCCAACGTCTCCTCTTATCCACAGGTCTTCTCTATGCGTGTAGTTTTAGACACACCGGCCATTGGCTTCTTGCTGTTTATAGCCTTGGCTTGGACTTCGAGTCAAAAAAGAATCAAGCTCTATTATTTTTAAAGTTTCTTTCCTATAGTAGAAAGGGAGCCACTAGAAGAAAATCGTCTTCTAGAGAGATTTGCAGTGTAAGAAAGTTGTCTTTGAAACCACCGGACAGCAGGGGGAACACAAGATCCAGCCATTAATGTCCTGGGGCTGATTGCGTTTCGAAACCCGTGTTTACTAAATGTCATAGCTAGCAATCAAATTAAGCTAAATTTCTTTAAACAGGAATATCTATTAAGGACTGCTCTTCTCTTGTCAACTCCAATCACGTCTTTCAGTGGTATATCTTAGTTTCTTGAATTTTTATTGGTAGCTGGAAATAGAAATGCACTCTAGTTACACACAAGTCTGAGTAAATCATGCACATTCCTATTTCTCAGTAGAGGTCAACCTTAGTCCATATTTTCACAGAATCTGAGTTCTCAGAAAGACTTAGTTACTTACTTCAGCTTCCTAATGCTTTTTCTTCAAAATAGCACTCTGCATATGACTCTAATTAATGAATTTGTCAATATCCGCACTGTTTTGGGTCTATTCCATTTTTAATGTCATAGGCAAACTATGCACTCCTTCATAGTTAGCCACTAAGGAGCATGTGTTTCACATTACTTCCCCACTAGTTGAATTCCCTGCAATTGCTTCCACAGACTCCCGTGATTTCTTGTTAAAGTTCTTATCACACATGATTATAATCACATGTCTAATTGTATGTTTGTCTACTGAGCACTCCATAGAAGAAGAGGCTGGGAGCCAGACTGTGTACCACTCTATCTTCAGTGCTGAGCACGTTCTTATAAGTAATGGGTGCTTCATAAATATGTGTTAAATGTAAATTGAACATTGCTTTGATGTGATCCAGCCACAGTGCCTGTCCAGTGATCTTGGAGACCAGTGGGAGGCATCTGTGAGCTGAGTGGAGGTCCGAAGGCCAGGAGTATGGGTGGTCATGACATATGGAAACCAAGGATGGGGGTGAATGGCAGGGATTCCTGTAAGGGAGGGAGACTGGAATGAGCAGGAACTGGGAAAATTTCCAGAAGCCAGTAGTGCAGCAAGAAACTGGGCAATGGAAGCAAATGAGAAAGTGTAGACACACATGAAGTCAGAATAAGGCAGTGGATCGAAACCACCTGAACCATTAGGAGATCCATACCAGTGACTGTCAGTACTGTTCACTGAATCTCTACAACGTAAAAAGAGTTATGAGATGGGAGGGCAAAAGAATGGCCCAAACAGACAGTTTATGTGGAATGAGGAGACTGAATTGGGAAAAGACAGAAAAGGCAGCAATTAAGAATCGGGATAGCATAGAAACCCAAGGGCACAGGCAAAAACAGAAATCAGAACCTGAATTTGCCGAAACAGGTCATCACCCTGAGGGCTTGACAGGTGGCCAATTTTGTCTTGCTAAGTAAGGCCCCCTCTGAGCATTCCCTGCAAACAGCCTATTGCAAGGTCCAGCCAGTAGAAGATAACATTAGTACCCATAGCAAGATGGGAAGCCAGGCCTCCATCAGCAGGGCAGACCCTGGTAATGCTACAGAAACTGATCTCCAGACACCACCTTCAGTGGGCCTTGGTATGAACATTGCACAAGGAAAGAAGTTATATTTTCAAGCCCCTTACAGGGCTACCCCCAAAAGTCTTCTCCACCGACCCAGTAACATGGAGGCATTCACTCATCTTTGACTCACCTACTTATTTACTTACAAGTATATGTTGAGTTCCTAATCTGGAATAGGAACTTAGATTAATAAAATACAGATTTTAAAGATCTTTAGGAACCTTTACCCTCTAGTTAAGGATTCAGGGCCTCCTTAGATCCACGTGGTGGTTGGTTAAGAAATGTTAGGAAGAAGAGTTTCTGGCATAACAATTTAGAAGGCGGCCAGTGGTGGTACCAGAAGGTCCTCACAGGTTCCAGTCTTATGTTGCTTCCTGTCTGCCCTCAGGCTGAGACTCTCCACGGTTCACGAGCCCAGCAGCACCCTCGTGGTCCTGGAGTGGGAACACTCAGAGCCTCCCATCGGGGTGCAGATCGTAGATTACCTCATCCGTCAAGAAAAGGTCACTGATAGGATGGACCACTCCAAAGTGGAGACAGGTGAACATTTCCCATTTCACAGGTTTGTCTTGACCTAGAGTGGTAAAAAGAAAACAGAAAAATGTCCTGCCTCCTGGCTTTGCCCCAGTGTCCCAGGGCAACAATACAGGAGGAATGGGAAAAGAAACAGCAACCATCTTGTCAATTTAAGAGTTTTTGCATGGTGAGCATCTGACAAAGCCTTGTTTTGATTTTGTTTTACTTTTTGTTTATAAAAGAGGTGTCCATTTCATTGCCTCTAGGCACACTCACAAAGGAACAACAATACGGTGCACTAGTTATCCTAGCCCACAATTAGGAAACAATTCTGTGCTAACCACTGCCATGATTACAGAAAAAGATTCCTTTGCTAATAACCCCCTTCCAGGCAAACCCATGTGCAAACAGATGTGCTTACCCCGTGTCTTGTCCTAAAGCAAACTCTGCCTTTGCAGGTCCAGCTAGAAGAGGCAAGTCTTAAAGGAGTGGAAACACCCCAGGAAAAGTGTTCCATGTCTTAGTATTTCACTGCCTACACATAGGGAAGGCCAACACAGGTCATCCCTAAAACTTTCACATGCGCATGGCCACCAAAAGGGTGGTGGCTCCACAGTCTAACTCAGGGCAACAAGCTTCTGGTAAAATGATCACCAAGGCTTGGACACATGACTGCCCTCAGGCATGGAGAGCGGTCTACTGCTCCTTCTGAGGTGTGTAGGTACCGTGAAGGTCTGGCACTGACCGCTGACCAGGAGAGCTCTCCTCCACCCATGCCAAGAACATTTCATGGAAGAGCTCACAGATGCGGTATGTGCATCTTCCCTTAGCTGCTTCTGAACGAACTGAACAAATGGCTCTAAACTGATAGTTACACATGGAACAGTCAGAGAAGACTGTTTCTTCTAGGTCTCCTTTCGCTCCTAGGAATTTGGGCAGACTGAGGATGGAGCAGGCTTAATGTCAAGTTCACATTGAGTTGGTCCCATCTCCTTCCCACTTGGCCGTCACCTTTGCTCAACCCTTTTCTGTTCCTTCCCCTCTGGGCAGAAACAGTACTGAGCTTTGTGGACGACATCATCTCTGGAGCAAAGTCCCCTTGTGCCATGCCCTCTCAGGTGCCAGACAAACAGCTCACCACCATCTCTCTGATCATACGATGCCTGGAACCTGACACCATCTACATGTGAGTGACACATGCCTGCTTACTTATTCCTTTACCCTCAACATCCCAAAGCTTTGAGCTGGTTCCATTTTGCTACTCACCTTTGGAGATTTGGAAAAAATATTTTTTTGAGTCTTTCAAGTTTTGTCCTGATCAGCATTGTAGAGAAATTTCTAGGCACTGGGAGGGGAGAATAAAGAAAGAGAATATAGTTCCATCCTTCAAAGAGTTTGCAAAATAGAGGGGAAAGAGATAAATAACTAACTTCAATCTCAGGCAGAATGAAATAAATGCTGGATAGAAGAGCAAAGAACATGTAGAAGAGGAAAGAAACACTGAATTCTAAGTAGCGTGGACATCATCTGAATTGGGTCGTGTAGAATTTCAGTAGGTAAAGTAAGGTTGAAAAAAGGCCCACCAGGCCTAGGAGGCCGCTAGAGTGAAGGTGGAGAGGCATGAAGGTGCAGGTGAGTGGCACGTGGTCCAAGACAGCAGAAGCAGATGGGAGTCGAGGGAATGGAAGAAGAGGCTGGGGAAATAGAGTGTGTGCTCTAAGTCAGAGATACTGCTTTCTTCTGGAGGGAAGAAGTAGAATAGCAAGAACTCATCTTTAGCCCCAGTGGCATTGCAATAGTTTATGGAGGTTAGAGTCGGTCAGCATTTTTCTTCAGAGAAAATCCAGTGAACTCCTATATGGTGGCATTTGGAGCAGCCCTAGTGCCTCTGGGAGCTCTTCCCCATCACTCCTGTGCTCTGGGAACAGTTGTAAAATATCTCTGAAGCAGAGACATAAACGACACCAAAAGAGGAGAGAGATTGATGGACTCCAAGTCGTGCTGGGGAAATTGCGGGCTAAGGCAGAATCCATCGTTAATGTAGTTCTGGGATCTTTTGACCCCATCAGTATGAAAAACATTTAACAGTTTACAGATGAGGTCACAAGAATAGAGTCAAGGTTTCCAGAATAAATCATTTCCATTTCCACGGCTAAAGAGTTTGAAGATGGAAAGCACTAGAAATGTGAGTGGCATTGATTGCAAGATGAGCTTAGATGCTCAGGGCGAATGTCTTCACCAGGAAAAAGAGATGTAACTAGGTGTCTGAGCTGATCAAAGTAGCATACATACAGACAAGTGACATTATACAAGAACTGGAAAATATACACAGACATAAACGATAATACTAAGACAAAGGAAAGTCACTCTGCTTAGGATTCTCATCAGTTTGATTGCTGTTGGGCAGTTTTAGCTATTTATTCAGAAGGGGACAGCAGAAGTAACAAGGATTTGGGAATGTGAACCACCTAACCTGTAAAATGCCTCCAACTCAGTGAAAGCAGAATTACCATTTATAATAAGGGCTCAATAATTCCTGTCACTAAGTCACAACCATTAATGAGGAATTTCAAAGTTCCCATGAGCAGGCTGGCTTGGTTGTCTGTTAGGAGTGCCAGCCTTCACCCGGGGAACCTCCTCGTGTTGGCCTGATTTGCCACATATCCTGATTAAAGACCTGAAGTTGATACCATCTCCCACCCCACTCTACTATCTTTGGTTAACTTCCAGTATTGTCTTCTTATGTCTTGTAAAACACGGACTTGTGTCTATGTTGATTATTGAAGTTGGACAACACACGGGCTCAGGGAGAAAATGGCAAGTGCCCACTAGGTGGTGCTGCAGATGCAGGGAGAGGCTTGGGAGTGGCCTGGCGCTGTCCTCTCTGTGAAAGGAGCCCACGGACCCCGAGCTGTAGTCCCTGGCGTAATGGGAGAAGCCCTGGATTATGAGATGAGAACACATGGGCCCCAAGCCTGGTTTTTGTCTTTAACCACTTAGTGATTGTAAGCAAGGCACTGAAATTTTCTGAAACTAAATGTTCTTACCTATAAAATGGAGGAAGGCAGCCCTCATGCATGGAGTGCTTACTATGTGTGGGTGCCCCCGGGGAGCCCTCCCAGCCCCTGTGAGATTAAGGTTATTGTTACCATTTCACAGCTGAGGAAACTGAAGTTCAGCCACCCTGAGGAGCTTTCCCAGAATCCCAGCTGGTTGTTGGGGGTATGGTGGGTGGTTAAGCACTGAATCAGGGTTTGCATTTTCCTCATGCACTGTGTCTCAGTCCCCAGCCACTCCCAGCTTCTGGAAGGATCTGACAGCGTGATCCAATCCCCTCACGTTAAGGCATAAGAGCTGCCTCTTAGCCTGGGGTCCACAGAGGTAGAACATTTCAGCATAGCTGGCTTACTTTGTCATAATATATATTCCATCTAATGCATTTTAAAAACATTATTCTGAGAAGGGTTCATGGTTCAAAAACAATTAAGAATTCCTAGTTGAAAGGGATCTTAAAATGCTTGGTCCAACATCTTCATTTTACAGATGAGGAAACTGAGGCCAGAGTGGGGAGGTGATTCCCTGGCCTGCTAGCCCACCATCCCCTCATCACAGAATGTGCTCATGGAAAGTCACTGCGTTTGGCGACATATGACAGCCAACAAATAATTCAAAAAACGGGAGCAGATTCAGGGCAATCAGCAGAAACTGCTTCCAGTGGAGAGGCAGACATGAACGTAGCTGACTGTGCTATGAAACAGCATAGCCAGGCTGTGTCTGCTCACATGTATGCATGCATACACACACACACACACACACACACACTCTCTCTCTCTCTCTCTCTCTCTCTCTCTCTCTCTCTCTCTCTCTCTCTCTCTCCAGTGGCCTCACTCATACTGGCTGTAACTAGAGGCTGAATAGTCTCAGCCGGGCTGTGGTGGGAAGGCCCTAGAAGCTTTGGACCAGGCTGTAAATGTACTTAACACAGTAGCCCCCAGACTGGGAGCAGAGCTCATCTCTTCTGTCCAGTGGGTCCAGCTAGTTCAGTCCTGAGAGTGTTCAGTGGTGGAAACCAGAAGGTGAACAATAAACAGAGCAGCCTTCTGGAAATGACTGCATGTGCAATTTCTCCCTTTAATGGTAAAAACAAGCTGGCTGCTCCATCAGTGTCCTTCCAGACCAAGGGAACCGGCACCACTGAGGAATGGCTCTTAGGACAAGTGTCATCTCTACTCAGAAGGGTTTGGCAAGCATTTCCTTTCTTAATAGCTTGCTTTACTATTAGACATAGTCGGGGCTTAGGACTATACATTTTATACTAGGTGCCCCATCAGAGTGATGCGAGAATTAATTTAAGCACAGGAATTTTCATTCCAGCTCAGGATCCAGTAGAGTTAGTGGGAACTTGCAGCAAGATGGCACACAAAGCCAGCTGCCTGCAGGTTGGGACCAGCTGGGGTGCGGTGAGGGGCAGCCCAGCACTGAGAGAGAGGGTCTGTCTGACAGCCAGTTCGGTGCCTGAGGCTCGGTTCATTGCTCACTACAGTTCAAGGAAACTGCTAGAAATTAAGGGTCTAGGGTTAAATAACTGCAAAAGTTGGGCTACAAAAGGTGGCTGGAACCCAGTCTCATAGGGCAGGTGACACTTCAACTTTCAGGCAGGCAGGTAGCAGGATCCCAGCCCTGTCCCGCAGCTCCAAGGCCATGCTTAGGACCCTGAGGACAGACAGGAGAGACAAAGCAAGGCCATCTTTTAGAGGATAGGGTAATAGGCAGGCTGGATCTCAGCCAGCAAAACCAAGGCCAGGGCTCAGGAGTAGGGGCCCAGACACACAGCTGGGGAGGAGGCAGTGAGGAGGGGTCCGATGGTGAGAACAGGGGCCCGAGGCCAGGCTCCTGCTAGTAGCCCAGTGGCCATGCTGGCCCAAGGGCAGCAGCCTGGGCGAGGGTGTCTCCTGACAATGATGAGAACTGACCACTGGCAGTGGAGTCACAGCAGATTCTGCAGAAGGAGCAAGAGGCCCCCCCTGTGGGCAGGGAGCTGGGCTTCCTGCACATCAGGGGCCCTGTGGTCAGAATCTCCTGTGAAAGGAGAGGGCTCACTCAGAGCTGGAGGGCAGCCCCAGGGAGGTGTGCAGGACAGCAGCCATCCTTGGGCCCTCTCTCTCCCTGTCCCAGGACTTCGGCTCTACGGCGGGGACACTGGCGTGTAAGGGGCACTTTGCCTGGGTGTGGGAATCCCACACCCCAAGGTGCAGACCTGCAGTCTGCCCTGGCTACCTCTGAGCCCCTCCTGAGGATGTTCCCTCGAGATGGTCTGGAGCAGGAGGGCAGAGGAGGGAGTTGAGACCCAACCCGGGAGTCGGGCTGTAGGACAGGACTCAGAACACAGCAGGTTCCAGACGGGCTGGTTGCGTGCAGCAGCTTCAGCTTTGATGGCCTCCATCACAATTCTAGAAACAGTTCCAAGAGGCTGCCATGGAGGGAGGGTGGGACAGGGGCAACTGATGGAAAACTCTGGTGCTGCCATTGCTAGGGATCCAGGCAGCGCAGCGCTGCCGCTGGGAAAGTGTGTGGGGCTGGGAGCAGAGCCTGCTCAGACCTGGAGGAAAGCGGTGGTGGGGAGAGAAGGGTAGCACTACGCTGGATTTTACATCAGGGTCAGGGTTTAGTACTAGGCAAGACAGGAGGTCTGCGCTGAGGAGCAGGGCCCAAGGCAGAGGTTAGTGGGACAGACGGGGCCTCCTTGAGTGGAAGGGGAGAGAGCCCCTCACCTGGTCCTGGTCTGACAAACAGTGAGGAGGCCAGGCAGTGCCAAGGGAGCCCCCAGTGCAGCTCATCACATCCAGTCCTACCAGCCCAGGGCTCCTGGTGAGATGGCACCTTCCTGTGTGAGGACTGGTGAAGCAGAAGGAGGGACAGTCACATGGGCATGCTGGTTCTCAAGCTCGGGACCTCCCTTCTTGGGGCTGGTAGGGGCACCTTCCTCTGCTGAGAGAAAACATATTTCCTGGCAGATTCATTGGGCATTTTCCACTTTTCTACCTCAACATTTCAGTGTCTCAGGCCCAGCTGAGGCCAACCTGGGCCACTCGGGCCTGGGCACCTTCCCTATATCTGTGTTCCACCCTCACACTGTGCGGGAGGAAGGAGAATCCAGACGTGGTGATCAGTGTAGCCTCCCGTGGTGACACAGCAAAAGGGAAAGGGACAGGATGGGCTGATCTAATGATCTGTTTTAGGTTCATTAGGTTAGTTACTAGAGGCCCTGAGCAAAGCACCGGAGGTTGTTTTTGTGGTTATATTCAAATTCTGAGTAGCAGAACCAGGGCTCTGTCTTTCCTTTCCATCCAGCTCCATCATCCAAGGGGAAATTTCACATTCAGGCTTGCAGACCAGGTCTTCATCCTCTTCTGGGAGGCTCCTGGAACTGCATAGTCTCAGCCTCAGGGGTGGTGCAGCATTTCCCCTCTGGATGCCTGGTCCATGGCGGGTAGCATCTCAGTGGGACAAAACGAACTGCGTGTAGGAAACAAAGCCCCTAGCCACAGGCATGTAAAGACCCTTCAGCTCTGGCTCTTTCACCTCTGACTTTAAAGTCAGTCCTCAGTTCTTTGCATAAAACTTTCCTCCATTCTTTGCATAAAAGTATCAGCTGAGTGCAAGATAAGACAGAACAGAATGCATATGACTTGTGCAATGTCATGGTTTCCAGGTACTACACTCAGACTCCAAGCACATTATTATGGAATTTCATTTTCACGATGACCTATAAGCAGTTTTATTATCATACCCATTTCACAGATAAGGGGAAAAAGTAAGTTCGGAGGAGATAACAATAACTGCACACATGGGGAGTGGAGGCTTCACACCCAAGTTCTGACCATCTGTTTCCATAGACACATACTCTTTCCCTTTGCTCAGTGGTTGTCAGAGTGTAACTGGTGTCAGAATCACCTCAAAGGCCTGTTACAGCACAGATTTCTTGTCTGCATCCCTAGAGATTCTGATGCATTAGGCCTGGATTTTGATTCCATCAAGTTCCCAGGTGATTTGCCTGCAGGTCTGGGGACCCGCTTTGAGAACCGCTGCTGTATGTTATGACATTTCCCATCAGATTCATACCCAAACCCCACTGGGAAGCAGTAGGAGGCTCTAAACTGTACACTTTGACCTGGGTGGTGGCAGCGAGTGAGCTGTGAGAGCAGCTAGGGCGAACCCGCCCATGCAGGCCAAGCTTGGCTATGAGCCAGATCCTTCAGGTTCTCTCTGATAATGACACCCTCCCTCCCTGCCAGGTTCACCTTGTGGGGAGTGGACAACACGGGACGGCGCTCCAGGCCAAGTGACGTGATCGTGAAGACCCCTTGCCCCGTGGTGGATGATGTCAAAGCCCAAGGTAAGAGGCACTGGGCTGGCAGAGGCTGCAGAGGCATGCCCTGGGGAACTCCATTTGCCACGAGGAAAGTTGGTGCAGGAGAGTCAAACGAACAACCTGGAGCTCAGCAGGAAGGGGGAAGGTTCGAGTCCCAGCACAGGAGCATCTCCTTTCCAGGAATATGCCTCAGCCTCTGCCTCTGCCCGAAATCCTCACTGCCCCTCATGATTCCACACATCCCATAGATCAAGGAATGAATCAGAGATGCTGATGAGAGCTCCAGGCACAGAAGGCGCTTAGGTCCAAGTGAAGTGCCGTGAGCTCGGCCCTCAGACCTTGGATCAGCTCACTTCCTCCCATTGTATTTTTATGTATGTACATCTGAAAGATGCTTTTGAATTAAGATAGAAAGGCTACAGATTTGGAACTAATTGCTATATCCCTCCCTTCCAAAGATGTGTTAAAATCCTTAATGTTATACTGCAGAGTCATTATGGATTAGCTTTTGGTAAGGAATTGTCCCTCTTCAGTGCACCAGGACTGGCCCTTGTCATTAGGAAGAGATTGTATTCATGCAACATGCATTGCATAAGCAGCACACTTCTTGTGGCCCCTTTCCTCCTGATGCTGCCTGGCTGGTGTTGATATCATCCCCTGTTCTGAGGTATATCACATCCCCTGCACAACCAGAATTTAGCTGTGCAGGCACCCCTTGTACAGGGTTCTGGCACTAATTAAAGTGATATGATCAACCACTAATAGGTATTCTGTAGAACTGGACTGATAGCATTTGCACATCAGTAGAGGAGACACTGACTGATGCTCGACATTGTGCAAGTTTCAGTAAGAGAAATATTGCGGCCAAGCTGATTTCTGGTACCCTTCAAATAATCTCATGTATGGCTCCTGACTCCAGCTGTATCAAGATGACCACAAGGCACCCAGCCCCATTACATGCAAGGGTTGACCCCGTAATGATACAAAGGCACAGGGGAGAGCGATCTAGACCCACTTTAATTAAAATCACTGACATGGTAGCACTTCCAATTTATGAAAGGATCTTCACATTCAGTGCCTCCCTTAACATGTGTGGCACATTCAGGGCACTGTTATTTTCAGCAGAGAAATGTGATCATATTAAGGCCCTTCTTAAAACTCTTCAGTGGATCGCCATTCCTTTTGCAGCAGGGATCAATATATTGAACAAGCATATTAGGACCCAAATGAAGTGGCCCTTCAGGACTAGAGTGCGTAGTGTGGGGGAAAGTAACTTGGGCTAGGGTTACAAAGGGAGCATCTAACAGAGCCAGCACTCAGAATCATTATTTGACATCAATTCTCATAGTGCCTACAGCATTAAATTAGGTATTTAGAGAGGTATTATGTGCAAGACTGAAAACCATTCTTTGTCTCTGAATACTGATGAAGAAAAGATCTACATTAAAAAAAAAAGCATATAAATTAGAGACCAAAGGAATTCTCTCTTTCAAAATTATTAGTGTTCCCTGGGATGCTACAGTAGAATGGAGGCACTGCTGCCTGGCTTATAGGGTATGGACTGAATGACTTCTGAAAATCTCCACAATCCCTTGACGATGAAAGCAGAATCAGAGGTTGAAAACCTTCCAGATGAGAGGGTGTCCATAAGGATCCATGGCACCCTTATTTTATCATGTTGATTTCTTACTCCCAGCCAGCCAGAGGGGAGCAGGTGATGAGAAGGTGCCCTCGCTATTTCTGTTTTGGAGAATTTCCTGATGTTCTTGCCACCAGTGGTGGGCACTTTGGACTTCCTTGCTGATTAGGTAGCAGGCTGATGGGACATCACGGGGGTGATGAGTAGGTAAGAGAGATGCAGCATAGTGCTACTTGCAGAACAGGTGAATAGAAAGCAACTCTGGCCCACATAGAATAGTCCACCTGGGCTTGACCACTATGCTGTCTCTATGGGGCTTTCTTGGGTCAATTCTGGCCCCCAAAGTGTATCACAATGTTCTTCTGCCCACTATGCTCCCTGACAAAGATGCGTTTCTGAAATCCCAGCAGACCAACTGGGAGCCCAAGAATGTAATTTAATGCTGAGAGAATGAAATAGATTTCCCAGGTCCTGTTATCTCTCAGCCAGAAAGGAGTTCTGGACAGAGCAAATGCAGAAATTAATAAGTTAGGCTAACTGAGGGTATCCTTGCAAAGTAATACAGTTCTAGCAGTTCTATCAAAAAAACATATGCTTTGCCACCTTCAGTCCAGATGGTGGTTATAAATATAACTCACTTGGGTCTGAGTTTAAACCAAATAACAAATGGGAATTATCTTTTAACTGACCCAGAGCATGACTTCAGCTTCCAATTGTCTAGCTGGAAGCCAGACTCTGTTCCTTATATGAACACTTTTCCTAAAATTAGATGGTTTCTATTAAGAATTTTACCACATCATGACACTGAAGCCACCAGCAAGTAGCTTTCTACCCATGTTTTACTGAAATAACCCTTCCTCAGTAGGGATGTGCTAGTCCGCATTACAATCAACCTAGTCTCTAGATTGGGCATGGCCTTCCAACCCTTCCTGAAGCTTCGCTAAGTGAAGGCTAGCTCTCATGCCTCCTTCTCTCAACACCTGTCCCTCTTTCCTGATGCCAGACACAAAAACTTGCCCATTCCTTCATTTCCCCTTCCATAGCCATTTATTGAGCTCTGGGATTAGATGCTAAAGAAACAAAATATGTGAATTTTTCACATAGGTGTAATATTAGATTTCACAAATTTGCTAAATCACACGGCATATATTAAGCCCTTACTAATAAGTATTTGGTCTAGGCTTTGGTGGCCAAAACGTCCTGCCTCATGGAGCTTATATTTTAGCAGAGGTGACATAGAATAAAAAATAGTAAAACAAATAGTATTTCAGATGATGAAATACGTGATAGAGACAAATAAGCTGGGAAATGAGGTAGAAAGTGCAGAGGGGAGAACTTTAACTGGCATGGTTTGGGAAGAAAGTGGAGGAGGAAGACACACAGCTCTCTGAGGGAAGATCATTACAGGGAGAGCTGTATCAGTATGTAGGGGAATCCCTGGCATGTTTGAGGAAGAGAAAGAAAGCTTCTGCGGTGGAGAGGCAAGAAGGTGGAAGTTGGAGGGCAGCTCCAAGAGGCTGTGGGAGGCACCCCAGAAGTCCTGGACTCAGGGTAGGGCAAGGGACTCTGCCTGCACTTGGTTCAGGAAGTGCTGGAGGACTTTGAGCTGAAGAGTGACACATTTTACGGGATCTTAATGTTTTACAGACTAGTTCTGTCTGCTTTATTGAGAATGGACTGCAAAGAGAGGCCCTAAGGTAGAAGCAGGGAGACAAGGTAAAAGGCTATGGCAAGACAGAGGAGAGATGATATTGGTTCAAACTAGGATGCTCATGAGAGACATGGTGAGAAGTGCTTCCATTCTTAATTATTTTAATGGTAGAACCAAAGGATCGGCTATTGGATTGGATGTGGAGCCAGAGAGAAAGAAGAGCTATGTATGCCATACTCATCCTATATGCTGAAAAGTACAGACGGATCTACAGAATGTTGAGGGGCACGGGCAGGTCCAGCTGCTTCAGTGGCTGGTGGGTTTTCCAGCAGCCCCTACCAGCCTGTGTGAAGGCAGAGGAAAGGCAAAAGATGGGGCAGACTCGTGGGGGGCACTGGCAATGGGCCGGGTGGGTTAGGTCAGGGAGAGAGGGGAATCAGTCCAGGTCTGATGCCCAGTGAAGGGGGAGCCGAAGGACCTCGGTTTCCAGCACTGCACAACAGCTGTGATCTTAATGGCAGGAGCCTTGAAAGGGGTTGTGTTCACAGAATATCCTATTAGGACTTACTCTTTCAAGAGGGAAGATGTTCTTAGGCATGAGAATTGGCTTCTGGTGGTTGGGGGGCTCTGTTCAGAAAGAGATCATTCACTTGGTCAGTGAAGTCACCCAAATGGAGATAAAGAATGAGGTGGAGAAGATTACCCCAATGCCAGATGTTTCCATGGATGTAGAGAATGGTCAGGAAGTGAGCAGGGGGAAATAGGAAGAGACAGGTAAGTTTTTAAAATGGAGGGACTTCTGCATATATAAAGAGAAATAATTGTTTGCAAAAGGTCAGGAAAGTCTCAGAGAGTGGTCTTCTCTGGGGCATGGCAGAAGGATCCCCCTGTATTGGGGAAGGCTTCCGGCAGGTGTCAGCCAACACAAGGATATGCGGACAAGGAAGAGTGTCTGCCAAGGTCAAGGGTAAAGGGAGAACCATTTGCCATATAATAATGCTGGTTCCAGAGGAAGAAAGGAATGCTTGAGAGAATGAATTAGTATAGCACGGTGGTTCTCAAGATAAAGGGAGAACCATTTGCCATATAATAATGCTGGTTCCAGAGGAAGAAAGGAATGCTTGAGAGAATGAATTAGTATAGCACGGTGGTTCTCAAGGACCATCTTGACCAGCAACATCAGCATCGCCTTGGAACTTACTGGAAATGCACGTCTTCAGGTTCCATCTGAGACCTACTGAATCAGAAACTCCCATGGCAACCAACAATCTCTGTTCTCACAGGCCTTCCAGGTTGAGAATCAAGCTTGAAAATCATTGATGTGGAGGAAGCACACAGCACAGGGCAGTGTAGGGAGAGAGCGGGAAGGGGACAGGACAGGCAGAGTTGAAGGGTTGGGGGAAGGGGGCCTTGCAGTTTGGACAGTGATAAGAATGCCAAAGATATAAAGCCAATTGGGACACCTTGTCCTCAAGTCTTCCTATGGAATTCTCTGGTCAGTTACTTCCATGTGGGGACAGACTAGGTCTCAGGTAGCTCCCAAGGAATCTTACGACCTCTACTTAGGGGACTTCTGTTATAACAGCCAAGGAAGCCATCCGCAGGTGCTTCCCAGGATTCTTACTTCATAGTAAAAGGAGCAGCTGCTACTAGGGGGTGAAAAGTTCACTTCTTCCCCTGGAGTCATTTCCCCCAGTCCTTTGGATTTCTGTGTTTTGATCACTCTCTCTCTGTCTCTCTCGTGGCATTAGGAAAAGCATGATATAGTAGAGAACCATGAATTAAAAACACCAACCATCTACTACTGTCTAATCATCCCCCCTCACTCACCTTATTTCAGACACTATGGCTTATCTGCTGTTTTCAAATAGGCTGCCCACCATGGTCTGGGGGCCTGTGCACTAGCGATCCCTCTTCCTGGCATGCTCTTTCCCAGATTCCCCACCACTCACTCCCTGCCCTCCTCCAGGTCTTGGCTCAAATGTCTTCTTTTCCATGAGACCTACTATGTGTGTCCCATTTATTTATTTATTTATTTATTTATTTATTTATTTATTTATTTATNTGAGACTTTGTGCCTCTTCAGCACTGTTCATCTATCTTACCTCCCCACCCCAACCTCTTCCCCGTGGTGACTACCAGTCTCTTCTCTGTGTCTATGAGTTTGTTTCTGTTTGGTTCATTGGTTTTGTTTTGTTTTTAGATTGCACAGATAAGTGAAACCGTATGGTTATGTCCACCCTATTTAAAATCTCAATGCCTGCCCAGCACTTCCCAATCTTCCTTCTCCTATTTTGTTTGTCCCCATATTCTGGCACACGTTTTACTTATTTATTATGTTTATTGCTCAACTGAATCTCTCCTACCTACTGGACTGTAAGCACCATAAGAGTGAGCAATTCTGTCTGAGTTTCTCCCTCACATATATAAGTTGTCTTGAAAATATGAAGCATGTGATAAGCACTCCTCAAAAAGTTTATTGATGAATGAATAAATGTATGCTTATTGTGTCCGGACATTGTACCAAAGAAAGGCTTTATATGTAATGTCATTTTTAATCTCCCAATAATCTTGGAAGGTATATATTATTAATCATCACTGAACAGACAAGGAAACTAAGACCAGAGAGGTTAAGTAACTAAGGCCACACAGCTAGTGTAGTGGAGCCCAATTCCATTTGAGGCCATGGCGCCTATTCTTAGCCATGCCTCTGGGTCGAGGGTTCAGTCCCAGCCCTGTTCATTTATTCTGTGCCCTGAGAGACCTGGGCTCCCTTCTGATAACTCAGTTTCCTTCTTTTGTGATGAGGCTGTGTATATAGACTCCAGGCCATCTCTTCATCTGTACTTGATTCCTGAACATCATACATGTGAGGGAGGGAAGACAGATGCTTATTTTGGATAACTCAAGACTTCCGTGAAATTGAAAACTGGATAAAATGATAACTAAAAATACCTTATATTCTTTTTCATTCTTTGAGTCAGTGAATTCTTGAGATGCTGTGAAAGCTAATGAAATAATATCTCTAAATTTTCTCAGTGGAGCTAGAACGCCCCTGGTGTATAGATCTTCCTGAATATAGCATCCCATCTCCTGAGGTAGGCTTTTAAGCACAACCTGGAGGTAGATCATCTTGGTTTTCGGAGATTTATGATGGAACCCAGGCCTATCCCACCTGGTCTTGGGCACATATGCTGCTGCTCTAGGGAAGCATCAGCCTTCTCTAGCTGGATATTACTGCTGTGTTATGAGAATAGTAAATATGCCAGGAAGCACTTTCTCAGCCATCACGGCTCCTCAGCTGAGACTGTCCCAGCTGGCGCCTGGGCCTGGAATGCTATTTCCCATCATCAGAAGTAAGAACAGATTGACATCAGGAGAAAGATGGGAGAAGGAACCCCAAACCCCCCCAGTCTGGACTCTGATCAGCCACATTTTCCTCCCCTGGTCTTTCTTCTCTCAGTACATATGCCCTGCCTCCCCCTGACCAACACAGATCATAGAATAATCCCTCTGCTTCTTTCTGTCTCAACTCTAGAAGTAACAGGCTCCTTGAATACCTACTAGGACTCCCTCATACTTTGCATCTGTGTGCCAGTCCGAAACAATGTCCTTGCATTCCCCAAGACTCAGCTTCCTGTATCTTAAATTGGTTAAACACTACCATGCCCTGAGCATTGGTGCAAAAGAGCAACAAAAGGTAAACATAGTCTTACATCCTGACTCCAGCCCATACTGTCTCTGTGACCGTGAGCAAATAACCTAACTTCTCTCTGAATGTCCTCATTTGTAGGACAGGAACAATCATATTCATTTTGCATGGGCAGTGTGAAGATTAGAATTCACATATGTAAAGTTCTTGGCAATTGATAAGTCATTAATAAATAATTGGAAATACCATAGATATGCTAAGTCATTGTCTGCTTTCTCTCTTGATCCTATTTAGCAACCTGAGAATTTTTGAATCCTGAAAAACTATATGGATTTCTGGACCTAAATTACTTTTAACACAGCTTAAGTTGCTGGTTATAAGAGTTTGGTTGCTAAAGGATTGGTGTTGTCTGCTATGGAGAGGTATCACTGAAACTTCTCCCTGCCAAGTAGATTTAAATTGCTTCCAAAGTCCTGAGTTCCACCATGTAGCTAACATTTTTTGGTCTACCATTTGTTTGTCCCTATGCTAGTCACTCAGGATGCTAAGGAAGTAAGATGTGGCTTCTGTCCTCAGAGGCAAGAGCAGGATAAAGATGTACAGAAATCATCGCAATGCCTGTGCACAGTAGGGCTAGAAATTGTATTCATTCCAACCCAGGAAACTCCAGCAACTTGACTTTATCATTATCAGCATCCCTGAATTCACTTGGAATTGTGAGAAGGAATCAGGTTGCTATGCCTTTGGGCTAATGGGGTCAAGCGAGCAAAGTTCTGGCTTAGAAGTCTGCAGACTGAGTTTCTTCATGCCCAGATTTAACACTGGATCCAAGACAAAGCATTGCTCTCCAGACCACCGCTCCCAGCTGTTCCGGAAGAAAATGTAAACACATCTCCTTTCTGACAGGTTTAATGAGAAAACATTAAATGATAAAGTGCTTTGAGCTCCATAGGAAAAAAATGCCAAGGCTATACCGATTCACGGCCGCTTTGCCACATCACCAAGTTCAATCTTAGCAGTGTATGCCTTGGAGGCAGAAACATAAGAAGCATAAATTCAACTGAAAGATTATTCATTTGAAACTGCAGAGTATACTGGATTCAGTCTCTGTGTCACCACAGATCTGCAAGCTTGTCCTCATATCTGGCCTCCGTGATTCTAGCAAAGGCTCTGATTCCTGCAGTCATGGGGCCAGGCTGACTTTGGCATTTGGACCAGTCCAGGTTCTTCACTTGAAGGTCCATGACAGGACCCCACTTCATCCCTGAGCTGGATGCCTGTCCCCCACTGCCCGGGGCTTCCCTGTTGCTCTTGCAGGGCCCCACTTGGTACCCAAGCATATGCAACCTAGAAGTACAGGGGAGTTACTGACTCCTGGGGGCAAATGAGAAGAGTCCCCATGGGGCAGTCATGGATGGGGGCTGGAGAGAGAGTCTTCTTTCATGTCTCTGGGATGGACAGGGACCGGGGGTCCAGTATCCCTCTATCCCCCCTCCTGCTTCCCTGGGATTGTACTTGGCAATATTGTGGTAATTGCCTCAGGCTCTGTATTTTCAAGAAATATGGGTAAAGACAAAGAATACTATGATCAAAGTTGACCTTAGAGATACATGCTATTTGAAAGTTTTTGTTTTATGGAAGGGAAAACTGAACCTGAAAGGGCAGAGGTAAATGAATTACTCAAAGCACTTCCCCCTAGATCTTCAGTTTTCCTTAAGTAATGTCCTCCACACATGCCTACATATACATAGGTATAGACACACACATACACGTGTGTCTATACATACATATGTGTGCATATACATACACATATATAAAATTGCATTTGCCTTCACTGTCCTCCTCAGAAATAGCAGACAAGATCTACAATCTCTTCAACGGCTATACCAGTGGGAAAGAGCAACAGACCGCCTACAATACCCTTCTGGACCTCGGTTCCCCCACACTGCATCGAGTCCTCTACCACTACAACCAGCACTATGAGAGTTTTGGAGAATTCACCTGGCGGTGTGAGGATGAATTAGGCCCCAGGTAACCAACAGACCTCATTGCCTCTTTTAAAGAGCTCAGCTCTGAAATTTTATACCTCTATGGCTATACTACTGCGTCCATGAAATTGTAGAGATTTCTTTGGTGAGCTTAGGGGCTTGAAAAAGTAAGTCCTGTGCCTTTAGACAGCTCCGTTCATACAGATCAGTCTAGGATAAGCCATGTTTAAGTAGTCAAGTCATGAATGCATTTCCTGAGCTCTGGAAAAAACCTTTGCCCTTGACCTGTTTTACACCTCTCTTTTAATGACACACCATTCGAAATGCTAAAACTCGAGAAGCCAAAAGCCTAGTCTTGTGAAGGAAAACTAGGAATTTTATTGAAGTTATCCAAACATATTTATTGCTATGAACTTTGAATGTATTATATGCATTATACAGACAGACATGTATTCTTAAGTGAAATTCCACATTCTCTTATAAGACATTGGGGGGTTCACTATTCACCCACTTGGCATCTATCTTGGCCAAAGTTAGGACAGTATATGGTATTTGCCAACTTTTCCTGGCCTTGAGGCTACAATTTAACAGTACTCAATATCCACAGCTTTTAGGTCAGACAGCCCAGATGGAGTTCTTGGAAAGAAAGGGATGGGAAAAATGTCTGGAGAATCACCTTTTTTTTGTTCCATTCATCATAGCTATATATTGCTGTTCTGAGAAAAACAGATTTCCTTGGAAATATCAGAATTTTCAGATAGACGTAGTGATGAAGCTTTTCATTGGGAATGTTGGTACCTATATGTCCCCAAATTATGTAGGTGTTCATAAAGAAAAAAAAATAGGGGCAAGGACTGTGATAATAGAAAAAGAAAGAAAAATGAAGGTAATCCACACAGTAGAGTCATCTGGCAATAAAGAGTTCTTGCACTCCTGCCAACAGGACCAAACAGAAGTATCACCCGAAAGTCCTCCCATCCATCTGAACTCTGACCAAAACTGGAGGAGACCCAGCCTCAGTGTCCTCTTGTGACTTGAAATGATCACTAGAAGACCATGGTTCAGGATATTTCTTCCCCCAGGTTCCTTACTTTTGAAGGAAGGGGGAAATTTAGGATTTTCTTCCTGAAATACAATGATTTTATGTGGAATGTCAGGAAGAATCTTTCTGCTTGCCATAAATTATTTCCTGAATTTTTATAAAGTTTGTAGTCCTCAGGCAAACAGATACCACTGCTGTGGATTAGGACACAGAGGAAAATATATAGGGGACTTTTAATTTGTTTTGTCTCAGTTTTGGTAAAAAGCAAACCCTGCATTAGAAAGTAGATATTAAGAAATACCCTCTTTGCTCCATACCTTATCATTACTCCTGCCCTTATCATTGCTCATACCTGATGTGGTCCCCTCTCCCCAGCTCTCTCCCCAATTTCCCTGCCTTCCAGCTCTCCCTCCACACCCTTCTTCCCCTCTGCTAACCACCCCCTTTTCCTCCTTCCTTCCGTCTGACATTTATTGTGTGTGTGTGTGTGTGTGTGTGTGTGTATACTTCTTTGTTAGGGAACATAAATGTCACTTTGAATAACACTAACATTGCATATATCATCTTGATTTCCAAGGGCATTTGGGTTGCTTTAAAATTTTCTTTCTTGTAACTCAAGCATCAGAAGAAAAATTGGTTAATGAAATAAGTAAATGGGGCAGAAATGTAGATGTCACTGTAAAGTGAGGCCTGTTGCTGACAATACACTCTCTTCCTAAAACTCTCCTCCCTGGAGACTTTTCAAGTATAAACCTTGTTTTCCAAAGCTATATATTAGAAAACGGGGTGTAACTTCATGAGTATGTGGAAAATAAGTTTTGCTCCTCAGTGTCGTGGATCTCAGGGTGCACCACAGGAAAAGAAGAGTCCTCTGCCTAGAGACGTGTCAGCCTGCTTTGGAACTGGCTGTGAGAAGAAATAGAAAAGAGTCTGTGGGGGTCACACTTCCTGTGAGCAGGCAGAAAGGATGCCCTCCCGTCAGGTCGGTGAAGTCCAATCCATTAAAATTCTTGGAGGCCTCCAGATTGAGTTATGTGTTCAAATACTTTGAGAACAACACTGGTTGCTTTGCTACTAAGAAAGAAAGAGGCCACAGTCTCTGAGAGGGACAAGGCAGACCCAAATTAATTATTAAATATAAAAGTGATCAATGAAGGTAGCCACAGAGATGCCATGGGCTCATCAGATCCTTCCATTGAAAGGATGGCGAGGATGCGTTCCTGTGCCCATTTCTTGATGATATAGAGGCTGTCTTCACTCTTCCCTCACTCCCCCTTCCCTGACCTTCCAAGAATTTGTCAGCAACTAATGACATGCAGCAGGATAGACTTAGAGGACGGGCCACCTAAGGCCCGGTCGACAAGGACTTTTGGGAAGTTTGCTTGGCTAAACGGCAGAGGCTGACAGGCAGAGGGCAGACCACCTGTGTAAGATGCTCTTTAGTCAGCAGGCAGAGTGTTTGATTTCCTCCGACCCACCACGGAAGCTGGAGAAATTACGACCGCCCTACTGATGACCTCATACTCTCTTAGCTCCTTAACTTTGCTGCTGAAGCTGCACACCTTTCCTCCGGCATCCTTCCCTGCCCCTCTCACAGAGTGCCTTCCTCGGAATGCCGGGCCGTCAGCCCTGTGATGCTCGTTGCCAGGACAGAAGAGGAGGAATGAATGGATGTGGTTATCATTCTTTGAAAGTTCATTCGAAAGGGAGGTATACAACCTTCCAGTTTCTGGAAAGAATTGCTGATTAGATTAGAAAAGAGATGGTTCTTCACCTGGGCAGTTAGCCTAGAGGTTAATAAATACTGCAAGAGGTGCTGTTCACTGGGCTCTCCAGAGCAGCATTTTACATGAACTTGTTCAAATAAGGGCAACTTCCTGGTGTCTGGTCACTTAGGCCTTTGAAGAGTGAGAAGAGCGTAGCTGAGTGAGGGAATAATGCTCCTCCCCTCATCCTATGTGTTCAGGGTCCCGGCCAGGAGGCTCTGAGAACAGCCTGTCGGGCTGCCTCTGTCTCTGACACCAGGAATGGGCACTGGGAGGAAGGCCATGGAGCAGTAGATAGACTGTGGCGACAGCCCATTCCCCCACCACGTGGAGAGGTGATCACTCTCTCTTCTTGGCTGGGGGGGGTCACTCCTTTTCAGTATATGTGCACTTGGGGCGCCCTTGCTCTCCTCAGCCCTGATCAGTGGCAGCTCAGGTGCCCTCCCATCACCTCCTTTCCCGCTCTTTTGATTAGGGCCCCAGCACAAGGGCCTCCTGACTTTCCACAGGAGATGGTGGGATGGAGCAGGAACTCACCTGGTGGTTCATTAGGTAATGTGTGCCACTGAGAGCCTGCCTTGTCCTCGAAAACCAGCCTGAGCCAGTGGGCACCCAGGGCATATTGTTGTCCTCTCCCCATGACTCTGGAATTACCTCGTTGTGGGCACAGTTAGTTACATTTGATATCCCCTGAAGTTCTGTATATAGGCGGCTTCTAGTCAGTTCAGAAATAGCTTTGAAAAAGGAAACATTCAGTCAAACATATTACCTGTCACTTAATGATGATAAATTACTGGCTTTAAAGAAAATTGATTTGATTTGTCTTACAAAACTGCCAACTCTACAATTTTAAAAGGTGTAAATCCCCACTAAAATATTTGTTATTTCCTCTTCTTTATTTTTCCTTATTGCATTTTGCTTCTCTGTTCCACTTTGGTGCCCACCCCATTTTGCACAGTCATCCTACTTATTCATTCACTCATTCATTCATTCATTCACCCAGTTGCCGGACAAGTATTTAAGACAGACTCTGGTTCAAAGTGCCAGAGAGAGAACAGCAAATACACCAGGCTCTGCACTTTTGAAGTTCAAATTCTTGCCCTCATGGTGGCTATTTGTCCTTTCCTGCCTCTCCTCTTTCTGACCTAAATATCCTTCATGCTTCATCTGTAGGAAAGCCGGGCTCATCCTTTCCCAGCTTGGGGATCTCAGCAGCTGGTGCAACGGACTCCTTCAGGAACCCAAGATAAGCCTGCGACGCAGCTCCCTCAAGTACCTGGGCTGCCGCTACAGCGAGATCAAGCCCTACGGACTTGACTGGTCAGAGCTCAGCCGGGACCTCAGGAAGACGTGCGAGGAGCAGATGCTGAGCATCCCCTACAACGATTACGGGGACAGCGAAGACATCTAGTACCGTGATACTAGACAGTGGCTGCCAAACGGAAGTAGGAGACAGGAGGGGGATATCTGGGTGGGTGTGTGGATTTTTAATATTTTTTAATGGAACATTAAAACCTCTAAATCAGGGAGAGGTAACATATAACCCAGGAAGAAATGACCCTTCTCCCTGCAGAACGTTTTTGGTATGATGTTCTCCACTTGTGCGATCAGGAAACCTGCCAGCCAGCAGCTGCAAGCAGAGCCATCTGTCTTTAGGGGATTACTCTGGGGTGTGTTTTGCTGCTGATTTGTTTCATTTATTTCTTTTTTTCCCAAGAGGTTCATCAAAATGCTCAAGAGTTCCATCATGCCTCCCTTGAGAGGTTGAGGTGCCCTGTACTCACCCTGAGGCCATTACAACTGGGGACAGAGATGAGGCCAGAACGTTGGTAGTAGGCTGGCCTCAAGCCCCAGCCTTAGGAAGCATCTCTCTCTGGGAGTCTAAGCTCTGCTCACAGAGAAAGACAAGAACATGGGCAGGTGGTCCCTCTGCAGGGCTGGTGTGTTCCCCTCAGAACTTCTTATTGCTGTCTTCACACCTCACAGTGAACTGGCCCCCCTTATGAGCCCCTTCGGGCCGCTGGGATTTTTATGGTTCTCACCTTTTTAAGACTGGACTGGAACGCATTCTCCCTCTGGCAGGGCTCTGCTCTCCCCTCCAAACATTGTGATCTGCAAGAGGAAACACAACGCTGCCTGTCAAACGTACCATCAGAGCGGTCTACCTGGGAGACTAGCTTCCAGCCCACACTCTGGAGAATAAGTGGAGTTTATTATTTGTAAAATCTCCTGTGCCTCCAGGATGAACTTCTCCAGACACCAACATGCACCATATGTCTGGATTCTCTTTCATGTTCCAGCTGCTTTCTCTGGACGGATAATGGCTGATGTCTGCTCTGGTCCAGGTGTTAATATGTCCATGTCAGTGTTTTAATTAACTAAAGCTATTACTGATCACAAAAACCTTCTGTGCATTGCCCCCTTGCTAAATCTGCCTAATTATGTTGCTAGTTTTGCAAATCATTTCTCTGGGTGACCATCAACGGGAGAATGTCACCGTTTCACCTCCCGTCTAGTTGCAGGAAAGAGCAAAGATCCTGTGCAGGCAAGCTCCCCTGACTGCAGGTAAGGGCCGGGCCCATTTTTCTGCTCCACTGCCTGAGTGTTGGCATGGGCATATGGTGGCCCAGCTAACAGGAAGCCCAGCCTTTCAGACACAGCTTTGCAGGGCCGTGTGGACCAGTGATGTCCTTAGCTGCCCACACATACCTCCAAGGCCAGAACACACACTCTCAGCCACTCTGCCTTTGCCCAGGGCTCCTCATTTGGAAACACGTGAGAAAGGTCAGGAAGGAGATGCAGGAACTCTAAAGCATGTCGTTTAGCTCTATTGGTCTTTTTCTAAATAGTAATGACAGATCACATTCCCTGAGTGCTTACTGTGTACCAGATGCTGCTCTAAGCACGGCATATCGAGTTCCTGAGACAAGCTCCCTGCCCCAGGGAAGTGCTATTCTTGGCTCCACTTCAGTGATGAGCAAACTGAGGCAAAGAGAGGTTAGGCAACTTTCCAAAATGCCTCCTTTACTCTCTGCCTGCGTTATGGTGTGCATTCAGGCTGTCAGATTCCAGGGCACAGGATTTTAGCCCTCTGCCACCCTCAGCCCTGTTTTCAGTATTGCCTGTGACATGCAGCTGTCTGAGCTCTGAGCTCCAGGGGGACCCACCCAGGAAGATTTCCCTTTCTCCCACCTGCGTGGTATGGATGTGCCCAAGCACAGTGGGAGGAGGAGCCATGGTGCACCCTGACTTCTGCAGCTGGAGCACCCTTTGGCACCACTGGGGCTGCAGCCCAGGCCTCCCGCTTGGGTGCCTGGAAGCGAGCCTGGGAGAGGGCTGCCCTGCAGATGCTCTCACACCCCTCCCTGCCCCTTTCCATAGAAAGACTAAAAGTTCTCTTTGGCGCCCTGGGAGCACATGCTTCAGAGCCTCCCCCACTTGCAGAGCAAAGGCTAGGAGAAAGCTCGGCCATCCCACTTGGGTCCCTGGAGGGCCTCAGGTAAAAGGCCTCAAGGGACATTTCTCGCCATCACCAGAGAGGGAGATGCTAGAGGCAGCTGGCCACCAGCAGATGGGGCTGGCAAGGCCGAGGGAGGAGCATCTGGGCTGCTATTATGTGCCTGTCCTTTGCTCAAGTCTGCACGGAAAATGGTCTGCCCAGCATGATGGGAGGCCGAGGCTATTGCCACATTCCCGCCCTGGCGGTGGGTGAGATGCGAGCCACTGGGCCAGGGAGGGAATGCAAGGAGTGGCAACAGGGTCACCCTTTTCTGTCCCCTCCTGTTTAATTAAAATAAAAGAGGCTATCTCCCTCTCCCCACCTCCTCCCAGCCCCCAAGCCCCTCCGCCCTGTTTTCATCTGCTTTCCCTTTTATTCTCCTGTCAGTGACCCTCCCTCCTTTGCCCCTTCGTTCTCCTTGACTGTCTTTCCCTTCAGTGTCCCCTCATGTCCTCCTCACTGCACCCTGTGTGCATGCACGTCCACACACATGCACACCCACCCACGCCCTATACAGGCACTTACCCACCCACAGGGCACACACACACACACACGCACACACTACCTATATACACTACACACACACACCCTATACATACACACTCTGTACACACACACACTGTACACACAACCCCAGTGTCTGGGTCCTTCTTCTTTAAAGTTAAAGGGAAGGCCAACACGAACGGGGCAGGAGGTAGACGTAAGGTGCCCTGATGATTTACCTGGAGGATTCTTGCCCCAGGAAAACACTACCCATCACAGCCGGATGACATTTCCCAAGGCTTGCCTGGAGGAACCCACCCTGACTAGAAAGAGTGACGGTACTGGGCCAGCACGAAACCTCAAGTTTCCAAGCCGCCAGACAGTCTTAAGGGGTCTCATTTCCACCAACGCTCTCCCAGCGCTGGGGCTCCCCGCAAGCCCGCGGTGTTCCCTCTGGAATGGACCCGACCCCCTCTATTAGGATTAGGTCTTTGACTGAGCGTGCCGTCGTTTCCCATGGAGCTAGGTCCATTCATTATTTTTAGTTAACCACACTTCTTGATATTCAATGTTCTATTAAAAAACTGAGTGTGAAAAAAATCCACTTTACTACTATAGAAGGAAGAAACAATATAATGTGACCAACTTCAGGTATAACAGTATTGTTTAAAGACGATTAATGTACGATTATAAAAAAATGGGATAATCAACTAAGTAATAAACAAACCTGTTAGTAAGTGTCGGGTGTGTGGGTATTCCCTTGTCTCTTTCAATAATCAGAGTGATATATCTTGGGGAATTGTTACCATTTTAAATGTCCCATCTTAGATTCCAGGTACATGAGCCTCATAGCCCATCATCCCAACCAGAAAAAAATGAGACACTTCACAGAAAATTATAAGCTTGTTGTTATGTAGTAGTGTGTCTCATCTTCTGCCACCCTTGAAATAATCAGCTAATGAAATGTATTAATTGCGTATCTGCTGTATTGCAGACACCATTCACGGGGCAGAGAATATGCTGGGGAGTAAGACAAGCTTGTTCTCCACCGCAGAGCATGGCGTTGTTTGGGGAAAGTTAGACATTGAACCCGTTGTCACAAGCATGAAGAGAACTGGGACAGAGAAATACAGGATGCTATGGGAGTTCCTGAAATTTATCTTCAGGTAGCTCAGAAGAATGCAAATGGCCCTCCCTGACACCTCCTGTCTTGCATTCTGTAGAGGCATTTGGGATAGGCTGGCTATTATAAAATGCTTCTTGGTGGGTAGACCAAACACTCAATCTCTCTTTCTCTCCACAGTGTAACTCTAAATAGATGTTATATCTGCCTCCACCAAAACATGTGATTCCCTTTATCTTCAATAACCAGATAGTAAGTACCTGTGTGCTTACAGAGCCTCTTGAAAAGGAATGGTGAGAGGTCTTGTCCGGTGCAAGCAGGATCTACAAGAAGAAGGCAAGACTGTGGCAGTTTTAAAACATGGGCAAAATATCTTTGATGCCTCTTCCGTCCACAAATGTGTTCTACTATCTCTGTCTCTAAATCGGGGCAGGCTTATTATCACTGTTTTAACCAATAGATTATGATGGAAGTGACACTGTGAGACTTCCAAGGCTGAAACCTAAAAGGTCCTGGGATTCCTGCCTTCTCTAGAACTCTTGCTCTTGGAGCTTTGAACCATCACATAAGAAATCTGAGGCTATCATGATGCAGTCACGTGTAAGCTCTCCAGTCCACAGTCCTGGTTGAGCCCAACCTTCTTGATATTCCTGCTGAGACACCAGACATGGAAATGAAGTTGTCTTGGGCCCTCAAGACTAGTCTGTCAATGTCACAAGGAAGAGAAGAATCACCCTGTCAAGCCCTGCCTGAATTCCTGACCCTCCAAATTATGCAACATAATGCAGTGGTTATTATTTACATTCACGGGGCAGAGAATATGCTGGGGAGTAAGACAAGCTTGTTCTCCACCGCAGAGCATGGCGTTGTTTGGGGAAAGTTAGACATTGAACCCGTTGTCACAAGCATGAAGAGAACTGGGACAGAGAAATACAGGATGCTATGGGAGTTCCTGAAATTTATCTTCAGGTAGCTCAGAAGAATGCAAATGGCCCTCCCTGACACCTCCTGTCTTGCATTCTGTAGAGGCATTTGGGATAGGCTGGTTATTATAAAATGCTTCTTGGTGGGTAGACCAAACACTCAATCTCTCTTTCTCTCCACAGTGTAACTCTAAATAGATGTTATATCTGCCTCCACCAAAACATGTGATTCCCTTTATCTTCAATAACCAGATAGTAAGTACCTGTGTGCTTACAGAGCCTCTTGAAAAGGAATGGTGAGAGGTCTTGTCCGGTGCAAGCAGGATCTACAAGAAGAAGGCAAGACTGTGGCAGTTTTAAAACATGGGCAAAATATCTTTGATGCCTCTTCCGTCCACAAATGTGTTCTACTATCTCTGTCTCTAAATCGGGGCAGGCTTATTATCACTGTTTTAACCAATAGATTATGATGGAAGTGACACTGTGAGACTTCCAAGGCTGAAACCTAAAAGGTCCTGGGATTCCTGCCTTCTCTAGAACTCTTGCTCTTGGAGCTTTGAACCATCACATAAGAAATCTGAGGCTATCATGATGCAGTCACGTGTAAGCTCTCCAGTCCACAGTCCTGGTTGAGCCCAACCTTCTTGATATTCCTGCTGAGACACCAGACATGGAAATGAAGTTGTCTTGGGCCCTCAAGACTAGTCTGTCAATGTCACAAGGAAGAGAAGAATCACCCTGTCAAGCCCTGCCTGAATTCCTGACCCTCCAAATTATGCAACATAATGCAGTGGTTATTATTTTAAAGCACTGAGGGGGCCTGCTAAATAAAGGGGATCTAGTCAGGGGCAAACGATGTCTATTCCACCCACCCAGTGATGAAGCAGCTAGGCAAGCCCTGTCCTGGGCGTGAATTCACCATGAAAAGGAGAGGAAAATGTGTGCAGGCTGAGCTACATATGTACAACGTCTCTCTCACCCATAAGGTGTGTCTCTGCTCCAACGGCGGGTGGGGGGGGTGGCAAAAAAGAAGGGTGAGCACTTTCTGAGCGGGTGACCCTCAGGAGCCTAGACAGAAAACCTGGGAGGGAGACCAGCAAAAGAAAGAGAAGGGAGAAGACAATTTGGGGCAAAGAAGAAATATTGGGAGGGAAGGGCTTCTTCCAATTACTTTTTCTGTCCTTTGCATTTGGAACTTCCTGGATGTGAACGGGCATACCTGACACTTAATGGGTGCCAGGCACCATGTTAAACACTAACTACAAAATATTCCTTGATCTTCACTGCAATTCTGTGAAATTAATACCGTTAAAGAGAAAACTGAGTCTTAGAGACTTTATATAACTTACCCAAGTTCACAAGTGGCAGTACAAACATTTCTCCCAAGGGCTGTGTGACTCAAACCATTCTGTATTACTGCCACTCCTACTAATAAGCTTGTTTCCCACTGAGTTTGCTAGTGAGGGAAAACTCCTCCCATTGAGATATTTATGAATCGCTGGCCAACCACTCTATGTCAGGCAATAAGAGAGAAGGTGGCTAGATCAGTGTAAACCTGCCAATGTCACCAAGAAAACAAGTCAGGTGCACAGCTGGTTTCCAAGAGCAGAGTGTATTGTCACTTTTGGTTTGCTTGATGGTTTGGCTTGCCTTTTTGTCAGTCACATGAGTATAAGGCAGAACCAAGAACTGTGACCTGGCCATGTGGGTTCAATGTGCCCTGTATTAGGCTTTCATGGGCTTTCTGGACTGTTCTGTGTTCTGCATGCATCTATGGTAACACCCAATACTTGGGGAATAAAAGCCTCCTGCCTCTAAGGACAGCACAACTTGGTATGTTGATCCACGACCCAGCCCGGATTTTAACCACCTCCTGCCTCCTAACCCTGCTCCCATCAGGGGCTCCTATTTTATTGTCTTTTCAACTGAACCCATTAATGAGCAGGTTAGTGTCAAATGAAACCTCAGTGTTTTGTAGAATAACTGACAATTTCTCTTGCTACGTATAGGACTCCCAGACTTGACTCATGTCTGCACTATTCCAAAGTGAGAAAAAAGGCAAAAAAAGCAAACCTTTTCTCTGGGACTTTGGACTTTGTAGTGTGTGTGGTAATTGGATTGATTCCTGTAGGGCTGGACAGATTTTTGACATCTGGTTTCTTCACCAAAACTGCCTTTTGTTAGAATTTATGAATATGCTGGTTCACACAGGGCTATGAATTGGTATAATTGATTCCCTACCACCTTTCCCAGTAGGAGAACCTCAGCCATATTCAGTGCTTAAAATTAGGAGCAAGTTCCTTTATTTGGAATAATTCAAATGTCCTGTGATCCTGAGGCATTGCTGTGTAATGAATCAGACCTGCCAACTCAGAGATGAAACCACCTCACACCGTGTCCTTGTGATGTCTCAGGATGTCAGGGCCCATGGATTAGGTGAGGATGGACATGCCCTGACTGCATTTTGTCCTAGTGGCTGTGGGATATAGCATGGTAATACATACACTCCTCAGAAGTCAACTGCCCTTTTATCCTCAGATCCATTTCCCAACCTCTGTGGCTCTGCTGTGTCATGGAGAGCTGACTCTTGCAAACTGCATTTCCCAGACTCCCTAGTCAACAGGCTTCCAGCCTGGTGGACAGTGGGAGGTGCTTATGGAAGGTAGGAAGACAGGAAGAGGGAGGAAGTCAGGGGCCTTCTCCCTCGCTCTCTGGGTTGGGTGGTTTCTAGCATCTCCTTTGGGATTTCAGCTGCCTCTCTGGCCTCAGAACTCCTCCAGCAAGCTCCCAACATGCTTTCAGCTCCCTTCTGGAGGCACCGACTCCTGAGTGTCAGTAGGACTCTCTCCTCACTTCAAAGCTGTGGCTGCTTCCTGCCAACAATAATCTCTGGGTTACCCCTCACCCCCCACGTTTCCCAATTCTCCGATTCTCCATATGCCTTCTCTGTTATTCCAAAGACTTTCTAATTGGCTTTCCATTTGTAATTTCCTCTTGAATTACCTAAAATGTGCTCTGCTTTCCTGACTGGGTCTTAACTAATACATACTTTAAAATAAAATTACTATATCATTTGCCACAGGAATTTTGTAACCCTTTAGGGTCTGAATGACAATCTGGGAGATGAAATTTTGCTGCAAAGTCTGGAAGTTTCTATGAACTCTAAGATTGGTTGCAGGGATGGCAAATAAGTTTCCACCCAAGTGCTAAATTTAATCAAGTGGAATAGGCTGCCTGTGGCTTGAAAAGGATTCGTAGGGTGGATCTGTATCTAGTCAGAAAGAATGGTGAGATCCATGATCAGTGCCTGATAGGGTATGGGATTGGTGAATGTGTTCCATGCATTTGTTTTCCCTAATTTATAGGAGTGAAATAGGCTCAGAATACTAGAATCAGGACTGTCCAGGAAAACCTATTATGTGTGCATCATATATATAATTTACATTTTATATAACTTACATATACAAAAGTGAATATAGCTTCATTGTGCATTGATAATGAAAATAAAGGGAGAAAAAAATACATATTTATGAGACCTTCCGGTCCCATTAATTACTACATGATCAATTTCAAAGCATTTCATGATGTTTCTGAATCGTCATTTTCATTTCCAGATCAGTCTTTTAAAATAGTCTTACTGTTGTTAATTTGGTGTCTTAGGTAGCATGAAACAAAGGATTTCAGTCTCTATCTGT